GATTAGACCGATTTTTTAACGCAGCTCATGACGGAAAATATTCTTGTGTCAAAAGTCGTGTCTATTTGCATAAGTTAATTTAAAGAATATCTTGTTTAGGGCTTCTGAGACAACATGAGGCTGCAACACAACGTTGATGAGTAAACGTCAAATTCAATTTCAGAAAATATTACAACGGCCAATTCACCGTTCCTGTAACGTAAGGTCGTACCTGAATTTTCAATTGAGCCCTGAAAATAGTTGAGTCATATGTAGGAAAGGGATCACGTGACAATTGAGGTACTATTTTACGTCAGAGAGACGATAAAATTGTGGCTCTTATGAGTGATAGAATGATATTGTGCCTGCATTTGCACGCATGGAGCTCAGAACGCAAGGCGCTGGGTTTCTTATTTTCAAGAGAGAATCAAATTCTCATATTTGACGGCGAATGAAACCCGAAGCGAGAGCCCCAGACGAGGTTGGCACCAATATCCATAAAAGCTCAAGAAAACATTCCCTTTTTTTATTATTTCTTATTCGCAGATCGCTCCTTTATCGTTCTCTGATACGCTACTTTGCCTTAACGCACGTCAGACATTTTATGTATGCGAAATGCGTCGATAAAAAGTTATGGCGATACCTCTCAATCTTTTTTGCAGCACCGAGAAGGGATGTTTCCCATTAGCCAACCTTCAACATATCATTTTATGTTATCGTTTCGAATATTGCCTTTGCGTCCTTCAAAGGAACATATGCACGTTAAATTAAAAATGTTGGAGGTCTCGTGTAAGGTTGATTTAAAGCTGTTTTATAGGAAAAGGCAGTTATTGATCTTCCCTAGAGGATAAAAGTCTCTATGATGATTATATCACGTCTTCAATCGATGATTTGAAGCAAAAAGGACAGATTACATTGCAATATCTTTAAATATCCACCGTTGTTCCTTTTTTTTTTACAGAGAGACACTGGTCCTTGAAATTTCGATGGGGAATATTTGTCATGGTGCGACAAAAATTCACAGATTATTTCTAACTTTCATGTTTTAGACCATTATGTCAGTCTAATAACAGCGAAAGGACCAACATATTAAAAGCCCTCGTCACTGAAAAAAAGTTGAATAATTTTGACACAACTAGCTCAAATTGGTGCGAAGCATCATGACTTATTGATGCTGTGCAGCAAACTTATTGTACACTCCAACTTATTGGAGTTATCTTGTAACATATTGGTGCTACAGTAATGAGTTGGAGACCAACTCCAACTAGTTTGCTGTACAACGCCAATAAGTTGGTGGACACCACACAATTAGAGTTAGCTGTGTCGAAATCATCCGAACTCTTTTTCAGTGGGAAATTAGGGGTAAAACTACGGTCTAAAACGTGTCCTCTAAGTTTGAGCTTAAGAGGAGAAGACAATGATAACAACATAAAATTTGCAGTGATACCAGTTCGTCTGTCAATGCATGAATGTAACAGTGATTCAGCGATCAAGTAAATTAAGACTCTGAATTGTTTACATCGTGACATGTAATGAGGCTGGAACAGTGAAAGGCCGCCGCAATACCGCAACTTCACACAGCTGTATTGCTTGAATAATAAAGACTAGCGCTTATGTTATAGCAATGAAACGCAGCTGGTAGCAAAGCTCTGATCATTCCGCGCGGTGTTGCCTAGCCTTTTTCAATGGGCAGAGTATTTTATCTACTTTTTCTACTTCTTTCTTTCTTCCCTTCTTTCCCTCTTTTTTTTGGCACACAGGGGGGGGGGGGTCGTGAGCCCCGTACGCCCCCTCGGGTTAGGTTCAGGCAATCGATTTCTGAGAGTCTTTCATAATACGTTCATTTCTGGCTCATTTTAGGAACAAAATATGATCTAAGTGTCCCTACAGAGGGAGATGCTTGTGTGGATGAGCCAGAACTGGATTGCATTTTGCAAAAAGGAACCAAAAGAATTGCAATGATTCTAAGGTTGTGTATTTTCATCCTTTGCAATCCTGCAATCCTGAAACCATGAAAAATATGAAATTTACATGGGGATTTTGTCCTTGTACAATTTTTAGGGAGTAAAATAGGAATTGTTAGTGGATAATCAGGTTTTTCTTCCATGATAAAAGAAGTTGCAAATCTTAGCAACATTGCAAAGCTTCTGGTTCCTTTCTGCAAAGTGCAATCCAATTTTCCAAAGTGTAATCCGCTTGATATCCCTCGTTTAGAATAGCCGCAATATAAAGATCAGTTGGAATCGTTGATATTTTTTTCCAAGCGACAACGCGTTGTACACATGCTGACCGTGAGGAGACCCTAACGCTGTAGGTGATTGTCCTGTGTGCGCTCCCTGACCTGCAGTCATGTGCAGACAGTGTGCACTTGGGCAGTTAATTAATCGTCCGGTAATTAGGACCTGTGTGTGTGAATGCTCTTCATCAATGTCCGTTCGCGACCGCCGCCTGCCGACATCCAGTTATGCAATTTGACGAGCGTGTTCCCCTCCCGTCCCAATCACGTTTGTTTTCACTATCCACACTCTTTGCTTTCAACGCGGTGGATACCCCTCAAATAATTTCTTCGCTTGGAAAATCGGTTTTTTTTTTTCCATACCCTGTAACGATAGTTTCTAGTTGTACCCTTTAATTATTGTAGGAGCCGAGAAAATTATAGACGTTTGCAGGGTCGGATTTACCTACTTGCCTCCCATGGGCTGCCTGTATTTTGCCGTCCCCTTCTCATTCGTTCTAAAACTTCAATAAAAACCATCAAGTGAACGTGCCGGAGGAGGAGAGGTGCATAAGACACGTTTACTCGTGTTGGACACATTTTTTGCGTAAGCCCTGTCAACACTACTAGCAAAAGTTCACGGAAGTTTGCACGGAAGTTAAGTTCCAAAAACCTATCTCTGTGTGGACAAAGCCTTCCATTTCTAAGTAATGAGCGAAAAAATTATGAAAGAACAAACATAAATATGGTTTAATAATTTTAACTTCTGCCGCCGCGCCACGCTGACAGCACTGTGCTTGACGTAATGCGTGAAGTATCCATGCAGTCTTGTAGGCGCAATGCGTTTCCCGCCGACCGCTGCTGACCGCACTGTGTTTGATGCATTGCGTGAAGTGTTCATGCAGTCTTGTAGGCGCTAATAAGTGTTACTCGCTGACCGCCGCGCCGAAAACTTCTCCTTTTCATCTCAAGTCCTCGTCATCATTGCTCTCTGCGCCGCGCCGCCGCTCCAGGCCAAATTGTGTGTTCGGTTTTATCTCTTAACTCGACTAGTTAAAGGTGCTGCCTCCTGTACCACCGAATCACGGCAAAATTAGAAATTACTATATACTCACAGGAAGTGAGAGATTTTGTTGCCTTTTCTCGTTTGTCATTTTTTTCTGAATCCGACTTTTTTTATACCTACATTTAAAAAAATTGCAAAATTTGCTGTCTTGGGCCGGTGCCCATGTGGCCACCCCCTAAATCCGGCCCGAGACGTTTGGTGTTCACTGAACAATAAATGTCATACCGACACACAAAACGAAATGAATGAAATGACATACAAGTTGTCATTTCATTGTATGTTAAGATGCGGTTTTATCAATTACCGTAAGTCGTTTTGATCTTATTCTTGCGTTACAATATGTCGATCATCGAAGAGGAGCCCTCTGAAATTGATCGTCGTGGAATGGAATTCAAATTAGCGACATTAGCAATACTGGTGCGTCTGAAGTGCAATCCACGTAAACGTTTGTGTTGGAAGTCATTCCTTTAGAGTAAACAGCCAAAGTTGGAAGTTAAATTTGAGTCGAGCACAAGTGTGCTTTTGATACAGCCTAAGTTAGTCTTTTGAACAGGGGTTGATTGATTTGAAAGTATCAAAATGAGTGCTGTACAATGAACGAGGCAAATTTGTCCTTATCGAGTCGATTTCTTTGAGAAAGAGGTCACGGCCACCTTCCTCTTCAACCTATCGATCAAGGCAGGTTCCCGAATCTAGGCTTTCAGTGTGTTCCTGTCGCGGCACCCCTAGCGGCAGGAAATTGGGTTCTGAGTCAATCAACATTTAAATGCGTATGACAGGCTAACACCCCTTGAATATCCCTCTACACAATGCAGCTTCTACGTAACTCCGTTGCGCAAACCTCAATCCGAACGCCTAAAAGTTGCTCCGAACAGTTCGGCTCATGAATCGGGGTAAAAAAAATGATTTTATCTAGTCGATTTTTTGGTGGTATCGATTGGAAATCAACATCCCTGTAATTGGACCGAGTTCAACAGAAAGGAACCAACCCACATCAAGTTGAAACTGAGAAAAAGGGGTTTGAAGTTTTATAGCTCCATAAGGCTCAATATGAAAAATAAATTTTAACCCCTCTTAACACAGACCAATTTTTTTTCTCGACTTGAGTTTTTGGCAGGGGAATATCCACCACCAGTGGAACTCAAAAACATTCTAAACTCAATTTTGTCCAAAATGTGGGTTAGTCCCTTCCTGATGAAATCGGTCCAATGAAGAATTTGCACGCAATTTTTTTATTGCTTCAACTGAAAGTGTTTAAAGAGCTGATTTTGCAGTATTTTTTATAATATTTTTCGGATATGGAAAATAGTATAAAAATAGATTTAAAAGTGAGAAAATGTGCCGCCTAGTGACGTCATCTGGCGCCATTTCCCATTGAAACGCACGTATTTTAGCAGATTAGATCATTTTGTCATATCTCCTCTAATAGTTGGACTGCATTTTGCAATTTGGAATACAAATTCTGGCTCTTCTGGAAAAACACTTATGTGCATCGGGAAACTAATGGCACATACGTTGTTTTTAAACCGGGCTAGAATTTATAGTTCCAAATTGCAAAATGTAGTCCAGTTGTTCAATTTATGAACCAGGGGTATCCATCGTGTTCAGCTCACTTGGTAGCATCCATTCAACCACAGAATTCATCAAATTTCAGACACGTGCGAATTCTCCATTGAAACTGAGATTTTGAAAAATGAAACGGAGTTGGATTGAATTTGAAGACGTGTTTTTATTTTCCAGGCGCAAGAGTCAGAAGGCAAAGCTTGCCCGGGAGTAAACGGACATGGAGTGGTGGCGGCCATGTCGGGAGCAAATCCGCGAGGCATCGACCGGGACCGGGGCACCGCCGCCACCGGCCTGGCTCCAGCCTCCCAAGAGAAGAACCACCGACCAGTCGCCTTCCAGCAGCCCAAAGACCTAGTCATGTCGTCGGCTAGGTAAGCTCTTTTCTCACGCTTTTACGCTAGTGTTTCTCCAACCACGTTTTCGGTTATTATCTTGTGTTACACTTTGGATTCCCTCGCATTTTCTTCGTGAAAAGTTATGGTAGTTTCCCATGTCTCATATGTGTTTCGTGACCTGCCAGTTTTTTTCGCGTGTGCTAGTGTGACTGATAGTGTAGTGTCTTCCACAGGTTAAAAGGATACCACAATGTCGACAGCTAGGTAAGCTGAGATCCAACATTCTCTGCAGGAACGGCGTATATGCTTTGAGCAACGTGATAAAGGAAACGCAAAGCAATAGGCCGATTCAATTATAAATACAAGAAAAATGCGATAAAGAATGGGTGAGATAAGGTTTCAAAGGTAAATAAACATGGAAGGAATGTCCGCAATATCCTGGCTGTGTTTATTTACCATTTTAGCCTTGTCATACCCATTTATAGTGTATTTTTGCAATATTTGTGTGTGTTTCGCTTAAGTGTAACTTGGCATATAATTTGTAGCAAACCAAATTAGCACCTATGGTGGTTAGTTTTTGGAAGAATTACGAAAAAAAGAGTCGATTTAGGAGTGAAATTCCAGCAGGACTTGGGTATCATTTTATTGTAAGCTACTTAGTTGCACTTTTTAAGAGCATTGCAACGCTCTTCTGGAGCCTCTACTTTATATAACGTGCCCTCATGCTATCAACTATTTATCGATTACACCATTTGTACGTTGAGCTGTACCATTCAGGGAAAGTGTGAGCCTGTGAGCGTTTACCAATAAACGGGCTCCAGAGAAAACTCAGAAATAATCCACTGATCGTTCGACAACAGAATCGTTCTTGAAAGTGCTGAAACTGGAGTTATAGATTTTCCGCGATACATCCTGGGTACGATCGATGTTTCAAATTCAAACCATTTTGTCCAACCAAACCGAAATAGTGTGTAGATGAATCATCAGAGAATGCTAGTACTGAAAATCATCTTCCAAGATCATCAAATGAAGTCAAAATTACTGTTTCCATTTTGCAACTGATTTCAATGTACCGATATCTACGGTTAATTAGAAACGGGGCTTTGATTTCGTTTAAAGACCTTGGAGGATGACTTTAGGTTCGAGCCCTCCTTAATGATCTATGTACAGTCTGAAAATTTTATTTTCCCATTATAATCCTTCCGTAGGTTTTTGAAATATATCGACCGCATCCAGAATTCATTGCGCAAAAGAAAGGTCTACCCAAATATACCACTTAAACAAACTGCCGTGCAAAGGAAAAACGCGATATGAGCCTTCACACTATGACAAATTTCCTTTGACAAATCAAGGATTGTCAGGGAAAGTCTTGAGAATTTTTATTTCGATTTATCAGAGAATTTCGCTTGTGATTTGAAATGTTTGGATATTTTAAGGAAAAACATTCATAACTTTTTCGAAGTAAACATTTTCTGAAAGGCATTTTGGCAACATTTGAATGCTCACACGTCGTTCTTCCCTAGCAAAATGCATCGTTGCATCATATAGGAAAAGGAATGTTGGAGATACTCTTCCATTCGGACGCTTGGTGAGATTCTGGATATTTTCTGAGCGCACGAATTAGGTAACGGACCCCACATCCATCTCCAAATGGATAAGCCAGTTTTCCAGCTCGTTTGCGGGAAAGCTTCCGGAAAGGGAGACCGAGGGTTCGATTCCCACTCCCCACCGCGGCGGCTCCAAATTCTGCCGTGCCTTAGGAAAAACGCCGTATGAGCATTTGAGAGTTGCCAAATCTCCTCTAATAACATATCCATTTTTGAAGAAAGTAATGCATATTTTTTCCTTGACATTCTCAGACTTTGTTGACCAAATTTCGAAGTAAATCCTCCGAAAAATCGGAGGAGAAATATTCATAAATTTTCCGACAAATTCTTTGTTTTTCAACGGAAATTTGGCAACGCCTGGTGGATCATACGGCGCTTTTCCTCAGCACGGCAGAGTTCCACTCGTCGCTAACGGCATAAAAACCGTCGCCGAGTTTTCCGTTTTCCTTCCGCGTGCGTGCGACCGCGTGCGAGTGTTTACACCCCCCTCCCCATCCCCCATACCAACTCCCTTCTTCCCCTCTTTCTTCACCCCACTTCCAACGTCTCCGTTTTCCGCGGAAGCTCTAGTTAACACTTCTTCTTGACGAGATTTCGAGTCGGGCGTCCGAGTAAGGTGCATGCCAAGCCACGCCGCACAGTGGATCGAGTGAATTGGAGAGGTCGGACAAAATTCGAAAACTTTTAACGCTTAGAACTCCGTTTATGCAAAACTTTAAGGTTCTGTAAGTGGTTACATTGGTTTCCTCGTGACATTTTCTAAGTAGAGCACCCCTTAAAATGTAAAATGTGACGAAATAAACATCCAAATTTGCAGTTTTAGTCGAAAATTTCATTGGAGTTTGGATTGTAGCCGAGTGCTATAAATAATGCAAAAATGTTTTAAAAAAACACATATATTTTATTAACAATTTTAAACCGAAGCTTTTCGAAGCGAACGCTTCATCGTCACAAAATCAATATCACAAAGGCCATAATTTAAATTTCAAAGAAGGTAACATATTTCATTGTTAGCAACAATAATTGATAACAAGCTATTAGATCAGATTACTCTTAATAATCTTCTTTGAAATTTAAATTATGACCTTTGTGATATTGATTTTGTGACGATGAAGCGTTCGCATCGAAAAGCTTCGGTATAAAATTGTTAATAAAATGTAAGTGTTTTTTTAAAACATTTTTGCATTATTTATAGCACTCGGCTACAATCCAAACTCCAATATTTTAGTGCTACTACCTTCAGACATTGCATTACAATGTTCGCTGATTTTGAACATTTCATGTCCGACCTCTCTAATTGACTCGATCCACTGTGCGCCGCGCGTGGAAGAAAGTAATTTATGATCCGGATTCCCGTCAACTTACTCGCGGCGCAGAGATGCCGATCAAATTTTCAGCGGGATGCTGAAAAGGAGCCCCAAAGGGTTCGTAGATAGTTCGCAAAAAGTTGACAAAATCTATGCGTAGAGTCCGCAAAATGCGATACAAGGCAAAAGTACTGTTTTTTTCTCCTTTTCATGTGCGAATTGTTTACCTTGTTTAGCAATTAAAATGGTTTTAAGGAATTGTACTTGTAAATGATGATTCACGAAACGCACAAAAAAGTGGATACTAAGTTAAGGGTAGAAAATTCCAATGTATAAAAGACTATAAGAGCATTTCGGGGGTCCTAACAACCCCAATTTGAACCATTTGAAATTATGGACAACTTAATAAACCAAAATACATCGTAAAATAACAGCTTAATCTGGAAAAAGGCTGCAACAAACACAAAAAATCTGGAGACCAAAAAACCCGGGACGTTTTGAAGTAATATTACAATCTCATCCTCAACCAGTTTACCGGAATCAAAATAGCGTACAAAGATTCGTCGATTCGCCACCATTGCTAGAGCGAGACAAATTTAAACCTACGTATACAAGCCGGGGTAAAAAAATCTACTTTTAGCCTTAATTTAAAATTTTCAGCCGTAGTCATCCATTTTTTGTGTGCTTTTCATGTATTTCATTTTCACGTAGTTCATTTCGGGCCATCATGTCATTTGCACTATTATACCCGTATCGTATTGCAACATTTCATACTTTCAAACGCGATAATTTGAATTTTACTATTTGAAACCCATGTAAGGTCTTGAGCATAAAATTTAAGAAACGATGATTTGGTAAACTGCTCCGAAATCTGAATTTCCCTCAAAATATCCAAAGAAAGAGCGTTTAATATTTATAAATTTTGCAAATCGAATTCATCTTCTCTATCGTCTCAATACAGTGAATACATTTAAATTCTACGGTTGAGTAGAGTTCACCGCAACTCGACAGCACTGTTGCAGTGGTCTGTGTATGAGTTGCCACTTTGATGAGTAAAAAAACATAAAAGTTGATTAGCCCTAATTTGAAATAACTGGTAATGGAACCTGACAGGCAGAGTCTGTGATGATGCAATCTCGTATTGGAGATGCATGTCTAGTGGACTCGGAGCTAGGAGCGAGCCCGACGGTAATTTGAGGATGCATAATTTTTATCACTCGCTACCGTTACCTCTCATATCATATGCGTTTGTATCACATGCTTGACGAACAACTCCCGTTAGGGATGTAATCACTTTCGTATGAGGTTTTCTGAGCTACAGAATCCACACACTACTACGATTACTTTCAAGTAAAGTAATTGCAGCTATGAGTATTCTATGTACTTCCGTGTGCTTCGGATGCTCGTCAAGCACAGTTAAGTAATTGCCCCTGTTCCGAGAGATTTCCAAACTCTTATTACGTCTTCCTTTATTATTTCTGTTTTTTCAAAAGTAAGTCCGGATGCTCCGTTAGTATTAAATAAAAGCCTATTTAATCAGATTTATCTCTTTCGTACAATAGACATCTGTACTGCCGCGCCAAGGAAGGAGCCCTCACACGTGGCCAAATTTCCTTTGACAGTTCACGAATGTTCGCCGTAAATTTGAGACGTCATTTCCTTTAATTGTTCAGAGAATTTTGCCGGTATCTTTATCCAAAAATTCTGGAAATTTCCAGGAAAGATAACCATAACGTTCTTTAAAAATAAATATTTTCTGAGAGGAAACTTGGCAACATTCGAATGCTCACACGACGTTTTTCCTTATCACTGCCGTCCGCCGTGCTAAGGAAAATCGCCGTAAGTATCAACATTCGAGAGATGCCAACATTTCCCAGTAAAACAAGTATTTTAGGGGAAAGTCCTGCATGTTTAAACTTGAAATATTCAGATAGTTAAGATGATTTGCAAACAAAATTGTCTGAAACTTTTGCGGAAGAATATTAACAACTTTCTCGGTAAATACGCTTTGTACTGAAGGGAGTAGGGCCATGGAGGATATCTAATTGCCGAAATTTACCGAGAGTCTGGAAAAAGTACGAATTTTTTAAGCGGAGTCCGGAAGTACTGAAAAAGTGCGAAA